CTCTCTCTCTCTCTCTCTCTCTCTCTCTCTCTCTCTCTCTCTCTCTCAAGCTCCAACTTCCTTAAAGTCACAGCACTATCTGGGCAGGACCCAAGAAAAGATGAGGCCAGAAAGGGTCCCTTTTTTTTTTTTTCTAATGGGGGAAGGGTGAGAAACTAGATCTAACAGAAAGTGGGAAATTTCTAACCTCGCCTCCAAGAAGGAAAAAGCAGCAAGCAGCAGCCCCTTCCTCCCCTCCTGGCTGTGCTGCTGTTTGTGTGTGCAGCTGAGTGTGTGCTGTGGGCTTGGGAGGGGAGAGGAGTAGGTACTGCTGTGTGTGGAAGAGTCTCTCTCTCTCTCTTTCTCTCTTTCTCTCTCTCTCTCTCTCATGTGTGTGTGTGTGTGTGTGTGTGTGTGTGTGTGTGTGTGTGTGTGTGTTAGAGACATGCAGCAGTAGACCCCACGCACATAAGAATTTGAGACTGCTTACATGTGTCTTTGTATATGGGTATGCATTACTCTCTTTGTGAGTATGTATTCTTGCATGTCTCTTTTGGTGTGTGTGTGTGTGTGTGTGTGTGTGTGTGTGTGTGTGTGTGTTGTGCTGGGTTGTCTCTATGAAAAACTGTAAGGGCCAAAGTGTAGGAAACAGCCACCAGGTTCAAGCCCCTGGGTGAAAAACTAAAATGAAAGGCGGTTCTTCTTTTTTTTTTTTCTAAGTAAATATATCCTGTAGGCTGAGGTTGTTGGGCAGGGAACACCCAAGGCCCCAGCTCAGCCCCACACTGAGTGGGTGTGTGCAGGCGGGATGACAGGCATGACAGCATGCCTGACAGAGAGCAGAAATCAGCTCAGTCTTGGCAGAGGTATCCCTGGCTGGAGAATCTGAACACCCTGGCTTGCAAAGAGGTTCCAGGGTCCAGGACCCAGCTCGCAGAGCAATGTTGAGGGACCTCACTTCAGGAATAGCCTCTGGCTCAGTCCCCACAGTGTTCAAGACCTGTCATAGATGCCAGACAGTGTGATCAGCTTTGCCACTTGTGGGATCTGCCATCCCACAGTGTGTGAGGGGGGCAGATCTCTCTTGTGGGGAGGGAATAAGACCTTTCTCTCTAAACAGGAAGGAATGGGATAGGAATGGAGCGAGGAAGAGGCCCGAGCCAAAGGATCTGGAGTGGAAGTAGAAGACAAGGAGCCAGAAAACAAATTCCTAGCATGGACTGCTCAGCCCTCTACATAGAACCTCTCCGTCTCCCCCGTATCCTCACCCACGCGCCCTCTTCCTGTCTGTTAACTTGATAGAGTCTTTTGTGACTTAGTTTACCCTCTCAGCAAGGCCAAGGGGAACCGGGAATTGCCACTGACTGAAAGTATACAAGGAGCCCCATCCCAGCTCCTCACACCCCCTTCCTGCTATGAAACTGTCGAAGACCCCAGAGTGCTGCCTGTAGGCACCAAGTATGAAGCTAGGATGCTACTGTAGACTCCTTTAGATGTGCACTTCTCTGCCCTGCCCCCAGGAAGCCCTTTTTCCCACCTTGCTTATTTTGCGGAAGGGTTTGGGGCAAGTCTTGAATTGGGTAGAATAAGCAGAGAGTAGAGGTTTGCGTATCCAGATTTAACAAAGGAGGGGAATCTATGACCTCGGCGTCTGTCAGGGGCAACTTCCCAGTGACTAAGGCTTCCCTAGGTTTCTCAGAACACAGCTGCACACACCGACACTGAACAAAGCCCATGTCATCAGCGGGTCCCCCAAGGAGTTCACAGTCCCCATCCTACCCTACCCTTAGGTAGCTAAGGACAGATCAACCACCCTCCCTACCCTTGACCCGTCCTGGGACTGCTCCCTTCTGGCACAGACAAGAGAAATCAAGTGGCGCATATCTTTAATCCCAGCACTCAGGAGGCTGAGGCAGGTGGATCTCTGTGTGTTTGAGGCCAGCCTGGTCTGCATAGTCCCAGGACAGCCAGGACTGCGTAGAGAGAGACTCTGTCTCAAAAACAAAAATCAAACAAAACAATAAAAGAAGAAAGAAAGACAAGTCTGGCTTGCTCTCCTCACTAACTGTCCTCACTGACTCTGTGGCCTTCCTTTCCCACTCCTGATCCGAGTTGCAGTTGTTTGTTCTGTCATGGGGAGGTGCCTTGGCTTGCAGGCTGTTATTGAACCTGGTACCCAGAAGCCCTTGGGTGAATTAGTGAATTGGTGGGTCATCAGATGTCACAAAGTATTTTAGGGTTCATCTGTTCTCTTTGTGGTGGCACAGATGGGAACTCTAGGCCGATGGGAGAAAGAATATGCCCAAGGAAAGTTCCTTACGATGAAGGCCCTTCAGGAAAAGCTGCATAAAATGCAAGGAAGCCACACTTTTCAGGGATGGGGACCCGACACTAACTGTCCCAGGAATAGCAATCTTGGTCTCCTCATTCCCCACCAGGAAAGCTCTTGGTGGTAGCCAAACACCAGTCCCCAGAATTCCATTGCAGAACAGCCCTGGAGGCTGAGGGCAGGAGAAGCAAGTGGAGGTGGCTCTCCCAAGCAGAAGAGATCATATGTGTAGTCACTGGTAACTCTGCCTTAACCCAGGTACAGCTAAGGCCATCAAGATAGAGGAGTGCCTACTCTGCCACCCAAGGGCGACTGACTGGTCAGAGTAGACCCCAAATGACCTTCGGTGTATTTACATAGTGGGGTCTGTAGAGCGCCCCCAGCGGGACACTGAGGGTAGTTCATAGCTGTTCCAGGGCACAACCTCTTCAAGGAACTGTTTCCTGCCCCACTGATGATCCCTGACCAAGCTCTTCCTGCCAAGACCACACCAGAGGATACAACGCAGCAGGCCTCATTCTCCTCCCAGCCTGTTGCTAGCTTCCTGCCCACGACTGGGGCCATCCTCGCTCAGGTGGGAGTGGCCCTAAGAAGATATGTGAAACCTTGATTGTCGCCCAGAGGCACAAGGTTGGAGAACCTTCCTCAGAAGCCCCCTGTGCCATCTTGGTCTTCAGCAGCCCTCAAAGGAGGGGCATGGAGGAAAGAAGAGGGAAGAACATCCCCTCCTGCCAGCCCCGGTCCTAGCTCCCAGGGTTCTCTGGCAGCTTGCAGAGTGGTTAGCTCTGGTTTGCTTGCTGGCCTTTCTAAGATGCAAGATTGCCACTGCTACATCTAAACAGCCTCAGTAGATGGTGACAGTTGGTTGACTCTCACGTCCCCCTTTTCCCTTCTGCAGACTCAGCCTTCTCTTCCTCCTCCCACTCCTCCTCCCCTCCTGTCCCGCCACCTCCCACTAAAGCAGCCAGTCCCACACCAGCTGTGGCTGCTCAGCCGGAAGGCCCTGGCCCACAGAGGCCTGTGGGGGCCTCTGAACCATGCCAGACCACATCAGCTTTTCCTGGAAGGCAGCAAAAAGATCCCAAAGAGAAAATGGAGGTGTGGGGAAGGGGGTGGGGGATGGGCCAGAGCCAGCAGGGAGAGAAACAGAAACAGGAATGGAAATGTCTTGGAGAAAGGGTAACAGAAAGTCACAGCCAGCCTGAGGCATGGGGTGTCTGTCTGGGGGCTGGGGTGACCCAGGGAGAAAGGAAACCAGGAGGAAGCAGGCCTGGGAAGAGATGGAAAAGGGCTGGAGTCTGAGATAGAAACACGCTGTCACCGTATCACACTGCCCTACTGAAGGGCAGAGCTGACCTCTGACCCACACCAAATGCCCTCCAAACAGCTTGGAGGGATCCTTAGGAGGAAGCTAGCTCACTCCCACTGAGATTCATGTCACCAGTGGGTCTCCAGGGAGAAGAGACGGGGTATGGAGAGCCCTGGACTGCCCATGACACGGCATGCATGTGAAAGGTGAGCCT